TTAAGCCAAAAACGTGAAAGGGGCCTAATTTCTTAGAGGTCTCATCATCGGCCAAGACATCTGCCTATATCTCGGGACTCTTGTGGTAAGCCAGTCAGAGTACGATCCCCCAGAAGAGGGTTTTCATACGACTCCATCAGTAGCTGTTCAGGTGCTTATCCTATTTCGACGGTTGCGCGGTGTGCGATTGTAGCTCTGCACTGGACTTCCGTTGAACTCTAGTACTACTTGGAAGTGCATAATTTTCTCGCAAACGGTCTGTTGCAAAACGTTCGGCGGAAAATGTAGACGTTACGCACACTTTTGGGCGTCTCTTCACGGACTCGTGTCTCCGAAAGCTAGAAAAGCTCACGCTGGTGACAGTAGGAGCCGTTTAGCACTCTACCTCGGTTGTTTAAATGTATCCCTTTACACCTTAAGCTCCGAGGAGCACTTCTGGGAAGTCCTTCGAAATGTGTATTGCTACACCGGAAAGCTGTGGTGCGCGGTTTCACCCCTCTTCTGCGTTGAGGAAAGTAATATTTCAGAGCAGAGCTTTAACGAGTTCAGTGGTACTACCAAAGTTTCTTGGGAGTTTACGTTCACTCAATGTTCCCTGGAACAATACTGTCTTCACCTTTATTGATTTTATGTAGCAGATTTAGAGTGAGACATGAATTTAGCTTCGATTTCTTTAACATTGTTTGAGCAGTTCTGCACATTCCTTTTGTATTCCAGTATCGCAGCCATGTACTTCCATATCGATCGCCTCCTTCAGATATCTCTTAGCTGCTTCCTAAACGAAGAGCATTTAGTGGGGACTTTCTACGAACCACTCACGGAAATCTAAGGAAGGTTTTCTGTCACTGACGTCCATCCCCTCCCTCCCCCTGCCATCCCCCCCACGCTGAAAATGTTAACATTTCTCCAAGGGACTCTAGAGAGAGTAGAGAGTATATGTCACGCGAGAGGATGAAGTCTGCCTCCAGTAAGCTCTTTCAGCTGCTAATCGAAGTAATTATCAAAATGTACTAGTTTCCACATTCGGCAGAAGCCATACGCTTTTATGCTCTGCTCGTACTCACCTCTATGTGTAGCACGACCACCTGCTAGACTAGTACCTAACACAGTGATGTGTTTTGAAGCAATTGAAAGACGCTATCATAGACCATCAGGATTATAGGAGGGCTACCGTTCTGGTCTTCCCTCCTTCTTCCTACCACTAGCCTTGCTGGCATTTTCACCTTCGACTCCTTTACGAAGCCCACTAAGCTTCATCATTCTTCTGCCTTGTTTTCCTTTTTCAGGCTGTGTTTCTGTTGCTCATGCTCTAGCAGCAGCAAGTGCACCAGACTGAGTGCGAGATAACCGGCCGGCTATCGTGTCTAACATAGCGCAGGTGGGGGAGGGGGTGTTACCACAGTCAACAGATTAGGCTCTAGTGATAGAATATCCCGTCACACCTTTTTCCTCTTAACTGATGGTTTTCTATGTCGCTTCTCACACAAGCGGGCGCAGGGATGCGTATTACCTCCCGGAAATGGGACTGGCGTAGCTGCGCACTGCACTTCAACATGGTGTGGGACACATTATCTTAAGAGTGTCCCAGAACGGCATTATCCTACGAATAACGCATCCCACACCATGTTCGAATGAAGTGCGCAACTATGCTCCTCCAGTTTCTGGGATATTGAACCGCAACTACACACAGCAAACCGACAGATTTACGCAAAAACTTTCTGGTTTGTACATCAAAGTGAATGCCTCACACGATGGGAAGGTGAAGAAGAGGGCACGTGAAGCATTAGGGATCCCCAGCGGGAATCATACTTGCTCGCTGGGGGGGGAGCGAGATCGTATTCGGCCGTAGAGAACTTTTTTCTGGTTGCTGGCTTGTCCAGTTCATTAACAGTATGTCCCTCTTAGTCGGCAGGCTCCCAAAAACAGTTGATCGTAGGTATTTGACCCCATCATTGCTTAAAGACAAATTAGGAGCATTTCTGGGTAAAGTTAAGGAATGTTGCGAGATCCGTTCCACAAAGAAAATTTGAGGGGAGGGAGAGGAGGGTTGCACTTCGCGAAAGCTTCCCCGCAACTGCAGGATATGTCCTCGATGAATGATTGACCGTTTGGATCTTGGATTGATTATTGTTCTCAGGAGTTGCGCCATGCAGTTGAGTGTCCGTCGGAATAGCAGAAATTTGTTATGCATGACATATGCATCAAGTCCCAGGAATGGGGACCTAAAAGGATATCCGAAGATTGATGTCTCGGGTCTGTTCCCCACACGAAAGTCCCGACACCGAAGAGATGCAAACGTTCGATAGCCGGTACGTGACTGAATCTTGTGTAAAACAATGCGGCCTCGCAATCTGTGGTTGACAGTCAGGATTGAGGCGGTTCAGAGGGAGGGGAAGAGGAGGGGGCAGAACAAGCCCGCCTCCAGCTGCCTCGCTCCCCCTATGGTGATCAGTTAGTGGCCCAACCATGAGAGAAACAGCCATTGGGCAACAAGCCGTACGTGGGCCCTTTCTCTCCCTCTTGAAACCGTCCTTACTTGCAACGATATCAACTGTACTTCACCAGTCACTGTTCCGCTCTACAAGAAGAACCAGCTTTGGTGAGAGAATAGAGGGGTTGAAAGTCGTCGTGTAAACCCAATCACCTTATCTCCAAGAGAAAGATGACAGTGGCCGAGATAGAGGAGGTTGGGAAGGTATTTCGGTTCAATGGAGTATGCTTTAAGAAATATTGAGAGCGCTCTATTGATAGATGGTGGTGGTTCGTTGCCAGTTGTCTTGAATACTGACACCATCGCCTGAAATGTGAACTGATCATCTCTGGAATGCCACGTTTCATAAGTGCCGTACCCTTTTCTCTATTGAATTCAGTCCACAGAACAGAAACAGTGCTCGGCCTTTTATGTAGAGTAGGACATGATCGTTAGGCTTCAGCTTCAGTCCCTGCTGTGTAAATTCCTGCAACTTTCAGTCTTGCTGGCGAATTTTCTCAAACGGAATTGGAAGAGCTGCTTGGAGCGACCGCAATAACGTACCAAAGACTTTTGACATTCCATTATCTTCTCTTTAGCTGCCAGAAACTCGCTGTTGTACCCCGTTGCTACAGCTGCCCATCTTAAAGCCTCCCATCTGTTCGCGTCCAACTGCACCGCTTCCATAGCATACGCTTTGGCTACAAAAACTACAAAACTCTCAAGGAAAATCCTATTGAATTTGGAACTGTCTCTGTCCGTAACGGTAATGTGGATAGATGCACTAAAGAGGGTTTGATTAGGCAATTGTTGGCGATTGGGTAGCCGCTGTCGCAACCATAAGGCTACGTTCATACTTTGCGGCAGGGTGCGGCAGCGTACGCCAGCGTACGCTGCCGCAGATATGAACGCAACCTGATGCGACGCTTATTATTAGGAGACACTCTCAAAGACACCACACGCTTTCGGGGAGGCTATATGTGCGGATCATGGTACAGGTTGGCCTTAAACATGCATTGCTACACGGTTTATCAGGTAGCTCAACCCGTGAAGCTCAAGTCCACAAGAATGCGAGGGGGCATTGATCGTCGCCCTTGATACCTTCTGAGATGTGCTCACTCAACTTCCATTCAGATTCGTGAAGGGCTTTGATGGTCTACTTGGTCCAACGGGATCGCTGCAGCAAAGCGACTCCATGACTACCCACCGAATATCTGCCTCTCTGACTGGCGGTGTACTTGCCTGTTTGTCGGTGTTCATCCGGCCTCTACTTGTCTGTCCGTCTGTCTGTCTGTCTGTCTGTCTGTCTGTCTGTCTGTCGACCTGTCTGCCTGCCTGTCTGTTGGTTGTCGGCTGATCGATCGATGGG